GAATCGAAAGAGGAGCTTCGTCCTCCTCTGGCTGCTGCTACCGGTCTTGGCCTCTACTGCCCTTTACCGACTCCATACCTTCGACCCGGCTCCTCTTCCTCTCACCGCCCTCGCCGCCCCTCCGTTGAAGGCGCCGCTCCTCAACGCTCGCCTTCTGAGCGGCGCAGAGGTCGTGGGCTCGGGTCGGCTCGATGGGCCCGAGGAGATCGCCTACCACCCTGAATCTGGCCTCATCTACACGGGCTGCGTCGATGGGTGGGTCAAACGAGTCAGGCTCAATGACTCGGTGGTCGACGACTGGGTCAACACCGGCGGCAGGCCGCTCGGCATAGCTTTCGGCCCCCAAGGCGAAGTCATCGTCGCCGACGCTGACAAGGTACACCTCCGGGAATTCGGCACTAACTTCAACAAACCTTATCCTTTCGTATATAGGGTATGTGGGTGTGATGGAATTGGTGAACAGGGGCTGCTGAACATAAGCAAGGACGGGAGTCGGACGGAACTGGTGACGGAGGAGGCGGAAGGGGTGAGGTTCAAGCTGACGGATGGGGTGGACGTAGGAGAGGACGGGGTGATATACTTCACGGACGCATCGTACAGATACAGTCTAAAGGAGTTCATGATGGACATATTGGAGGGGAAGCCGAACGGGCGGCTGCTCAGCCACGACCCTTCCACCAAAACAACCACCGTTCTCCTTAGGGACCTCTACTTCGCCAATGGCATCTCATTGTCCCCCGACCAAACCCATCTCATCTTCTGCGAGACCCCCTTGTCCATCTCTCTCCCTCTCTCTCTTGATAAAACTCCACTCCAAATCCAACGTCAATAAAAATGAAACTTTGGTTTCCGCAGGAGAAGATGCAGCAAGTATCACATCAGAGGGGAGAAGAGAGGGGAGGTGGAGATATTCGTGGAAGGTTTACCTGGTCTTCCTGATAACATTCGACACGATAGAGAGGGCCATTACTGGATCGCTTTAGCTACTGTAAGCCAGCCCGCCAGCCCTGATACATACACACATATATATACATATATATGTATATTGACAAGATGGAAACTTGGTGACTGATGGAACAAAAAAAACAGGCGTATACAGCACAATGGAAGGTGTTGTTCAGACACCCGACGCTGAGGAAAGTGGTGGCGATTGCAACCAAGTATGGGATGGAACTCCAAGGGGCAAAGGGGGCAGGAGTTTTTCAGGTCGATTTGGAAGGGAAGCCGATTGCACATTACTATGATCCTTCACTCTCCTTCATAACCTCCGGTCTCAAAATCGGAAACAACTTGTTCTGTGGATCCATCAGCTATCCCCACATTACTCGTTTGAATCTCCTTCAATTCCCTGCCCTCCCTTACCCATGAATAAGGAAAAGCTTTGTCTTTTCAAAGTTGTCAACTTTATATATCCATCATGTAATGAACTAATGATATCAATAATGTATTTATTTATATAATAAATCTAAATTGTCTCTCAAATTATTAGCATTCAATTTTAAAAATACTAGGAAAACATACAAGGAAAAAGAAAAGAAAAATTCCTAAGTTATGGGTCTAGATGGCAAGGGGAAAAAAAGGGGGACAAACACAAAAAAAAAACACAAATTTTCCGACTTACTCAAATTAAATCTCACACTTTAAATTGCTTAAATAAAATTCTTAACTATAAAAAAAAAACAAAAAAAAAACCATAGATGTAGGAAAACAAACGGACGTTATGTACATACCTATTTTTTATTTTTTATTTACTTTCTTTAGTTTTTATTTATTTATTTAATTTTCAAATCCTAAAAATCCATTAACCTCCTTACATAATTAAAAACCCTAATTCAGTTTTGTTTCTTTCACATCCTGAGCCACTTTTTTTTTCTATCACCGAAACCATTTTTTTTTCTTATCACAATATTCCATTTTTTTTTTTATCAAAATTTGGATTGTTCCGAAGGTTTAGTTCTCTAATGAGGTAAATTCTTAACCCTAATTTTTATTATAACCTAAATTTTATTGTGTATTGTTTGATTATATTAAATATTTGAATAAATGGATTTAGGTTGTATGTGATTATATGGTGTCTATTTGTTTTAAGTTCAGAATATTAAAGTTAGATAATGACAGTGATTATGAGTTATATATATTGAGGCAATTTTTGGAAATAACGATGATGGTAGAAGTAGAGTATGTGAAAGTGAAATCAGTCATATACAATGTCGGGATGATAGAGAAGGTGATGGTGACGCTGGAGATGGTAATAGTGATGTTAGATATCATAGTGATGATGAAAAAGAAAGAAGCAATGATGATTATATGGACTACTAGCTCAAGTGATGACGGTAAAAAGAAGCTTTTTCGAGTGGGACAATGTTTTTTAAGCAAAGATTTGTTCAAACGTTGATGACGTGTGTCTGCTGATTGATTCCAGGAAGCCATGCTAAAGCCCGAGCTGCGTGAGATGGAAAGGAAACAGGAGAGAGAAGCGTGTTGATCGATATGGCGTACCTAAAAAACGTCATTCTAAAGCTTCTGGAGACAGGTACATATCTGGATCTTGAAGTTAGAACTCACAGTTGAGGGCTTCTTTGGCTGAAAGATGTTAATAATGTCACAGGTGAAGTGGAGGCTTTACTACCAGTTGTGGGAATGTTGCTGCAGTTCAGTCCGGAAGAGGTTAGATTGTAAAAAATGAGCTTTTTTGGGGGTAATACTAATAATATGTCGGATGTCTAAAAGTGATTTGATCATGTAAAACGTAGGTCGATATATATTCCGATTAAAAAAGGAGTTATTATTAATGATTTGAAGTATTTATAAGTTTTGAAAGACAATCCAAAAATTATACGGTCGATCTGAAATAAATTTGGGATTAAGACGGTATTGTTTGAGGGTAATATGGTCACCATGTTGGATTGGCCATTTGCAGATGCAGAAATGTGAACAAGCCTACCGCAGCGCCATGGACGTGAGTCCACCAGGTTCAGCTACAGATCGGTTCCCATATTCTTTTTTTGAAACTGTAACATTAAAAGGAAAGAGACGTTGTTTCATGAAGTTGTTCAAATGTTTTTTTTCCCTTGTCATGGTTACGAAATTGAAGTTTACGGAAGTTGCTCTGAATCCATCAAAATAATAATAACGTATAAAATCTATAAAAATTTCTAAACCCTTAAAACGTGGAAAATTAATTTCTAAACTTTAGTTCAGTGAGTTTATTTCTAAATTTATAAAATATATAATTATAGTTTTTAAATTTAATATATTATTATAAATTATAAATTTATTTTTGGATTAGTATTATCGAGATTTATTCTACACTGACTAACAAATTTAGAAATTATAATGTTATATTTTATAAATTCAAAAAATAAATTTGTTAAACCAAAAATATAGAAATTAATTTCCTATCAGTAATTTTCATGGGTGTTACAATAATAATAATAATGTTGGTCCAGGGCAAAATCATAATTATTCAGAACGTATACAGCAGGGGGTGGCCTGGCTTCGTTGATGATCGTCATCATCTTCGACACGATATAGCTCATTCTATGAGTTGAACGGGTCGTAGAGCCACGAGATTCGGCGGAGTCGTCTCCCACTTCCTTTCCTGCTTTTGAATTCTGCCTTCTACTTTTTCAGATCTCCAATTGCTGTCTGCTCGAGAGGCCTTCAGATCTCAATCGCCGATCCCGTCGTTCCCCGCGGTTCGTGTGATGTGATGATGGAATTCCGCTCTCTCGTTCTGAATGATTTAAACATGGTGGGCGGTAATATTGACGATATTGATCATGTTGTGTTTTCCAGTTGACTGGATTTCGATATGGAGACAAGCGTGGAGGGTAGGCACAGGTTACACTCTCGCTTGCGTCTATGGGAGTTCCCTGATCAGTATGTGATCGAGCCTACTGATGGCTCTGGCTCTTCCTCCCTTGAGATCAGTCGTGTTGATGGCTCCATGAAGCTCCTCGGTTTGTTTCTTCTTCTCCTTCTTCCTCCTCGGTTCGATGCATCTATTTCTTTAGGTTTTTAGAATCTGATTCTGTTTGGGTGCATCCCCAGATCAAGTCACAGAGTGCAGCGATCTCCGGGTCCCTAAAATCCGCACCATTTTTGGCATTGTGGGGATGCTCAAGCTCATCGCAGGTTAAAACCATTATTCCTATTCTCTAATCGTTACTGTGAGTGTTTCACGCCACTCCATCTTCCTTATCTTCCTTTGCCTTCAGGATCATACTTGGTGGTCGTGACGGAGAGCGAATGTGTTGGGTCATTTCTGGGTCACCCTACTTTCAGAATTAAATCTCTCAAGGTCCTTCCTTGTGATCATTCGCTTAAAAACTCCCCGGAAGAACAGGTAAAAACCCCCATCTCTCACGTTTCTCGGTTTCTATTGAATATATGAGCTTAAAATCATTATTGCCACTTTCTACAGAAAAAGATGGAGACTGAGTTCTCTAGGCTATTGAGCGTAGCAGAAGGGACATCTGGTCTTTACTTCTCATATGAAATTAATCTAACACTGAGGTACTTTTGATTCTGTCTCCGTTATGCACAACCCTCACCAGCTTCACAATTCTAGATATCTAGTATTGTCCCAAGGCATTCGCATGCTATATCTTTAGGATGTGCTAGAGTGAACAACTAAAGAAGTTCACTGTGGCTAGTCAAGTAGCGGGCGTGTCTGTTAGTTTATTCTTATCTTTTTATATTCTTTCAGTGCTCAGCGCTTGCATGACTTGGGTGAGGAGTCTAAGTCACTTCCTTTGTGGAGACAGGTGACCACACTTATACGCTTTTATACATTCAAGCAAAATTTTTGTAGCTTCTTCCTGAATGAACTGTTATCCTTACGGCAGGCTGAGCCTAGGTTTCTCTGGAACAATTATATGTTGGAAGTCCTGATCGATAATAAGGTCCGTATATCCCTGAGATTCTTTTATCTATTATTTTTTCCCCTTTGTTTTTCTCTCTTTCATAGATTATCACTTAATATCATCTTCTTTTTCTCTCGGTGTTCCATGTTTGCAGCTAGACCAATTTTTACTTCCAGTAATTCAGGGGAATATCCTTTTCTGTCAGCTGCTTCACTCCGTTTTCTTGTTGTTTCCTTTGCATGGTTACGTTCTGTCATTAATTTGCTCCTGAGGCCCGAGTTTGAAGCACTTCCTTAACATGAATCACGTTTTCATAGTTTTCAGACGGCCGTTGGAAGAGATATTGTTGACATTACTCTGATTGCTAGGAGGTGTACTAGGAGAAATGGTATGTGGATTTCTATGCTGCAAGTCGTTACCTTGTGATATATATTATTTTAAGTTTTTAGATTATAGCAATCTTCAAGTATTAACAAATTCATTAGGTATTCTCGTTTTCAGTTTCCGCTGTGAAGGTTCAAGTAGGTCTCTGGAACTTCATTGATTATTCTGACTATTTTGTCCATTCCAACTGTCAACTATAGCTAGAAAGTAGGTTATAGATCTAACCTGTTAAAAATTGCTCGTAGAAGGTTAAGCTTGACGCTCTTTCACCTGTTTAGGGGAAAAAAAGCTTGGTGCCCTATTATCAATTATAAACTTAGTTCTTTTGGATTAATGGAAATCGTAAGTCTTCAGATGCAGGCCAGTTAGATTATACAGCCTGGGTCATCTCTTACCCTTATTGCGTTTCATCTGCAAGGTACACGTATGTGGCGAAGAGGAGCTGACCCCGATGGATATGTTGCTAATTTTGTGGAAACTGAACAAATTTTCCAGATGAATGGATACACATCATCATTTGTCCAGGTGATTTGTGTTTCCGTGCTTTCATCCTGTGAAAATATCTTAGGCTACGAATTCTCAGTCAATTGGCAGATGTTTGACTCCCTTTCTTACAGACCATGATCATTTTCTTATTTTATTTTTCATTCTTTTTACCCTGTGCAGGTTAGAGGATCTATGCCTTTCATGTGGGAACAAATCGTCGATTTAACTTACAAGCCCAAATTTGAGATTGTCCGACCAGAAGAAGCTGTGAGTGTTGATTTCTTGTCAAACCATTTGCTCTTCTTGCACCCTTAGCTCATCTAAGTTGCATTGGTTACATCTCTTGCAGCCACGCATAGCTGAACGTCACTTTCTGGACCTACGGAAAAAATACGGATCAGTTTTGGCAGTTGATCTTGTCAATAAGGTGCATATCCTTTTGAATTCGCTTGAATATTTGTTGAGCTACGGGACCAAATTTTTCTATAACCCTCCTGTTTTTGAGGACTCATCTTGGCCGTTATATAATGTGTTTAATGTAATCAGTAAACAAAAATGCAGTCCCGTAGATCTTCATCAGCTTTTTACCCCTCTAATTCTATTGCTTCTTCTCTGACCAGCATGGAGGTGAGGGGAGCTTAAGCGAAAAGTTTGCAAGTGCTATGCAGCACATCACTGGTGATGATGTAAGGTAGTTAATCCTTTCCTAACATCCTTTATTTGATTATTCATATTATTTTTGTCAACTCATTGAAGGATATGCCTGATCATGTAGATACCTGCACTTTGATTTTCATCGCATCTGTGGGCATGTTCACTTTGAACGGTTATCACTACTGTATGAGCAGATGGAGGATTTTCTTGAGAAAAGCGGGTATGATTTTTCTGGACTTTTATGGGATCTAATTTTGAAACCACCAATTGATCTCTCTTCTTTTGTGAAGCAACATTATTTCTAATTTTTTTTCCAACTTGTCTTCACATTGTTTGAATCATCCAGGTATTTTTTGTTGAACGGAAAGGGCGAAAAGATGAAGGAGCAGCTGGGTGTTGTCCGGACTAATTGCATAGATTGCTTAGACCGTACGAATGTCACCCAGGTTGGTCAAACTGTCAAAGTAAAGCTGCCCTTAACTGTCGAATGTCTCAGTGTTCTTTGCTCATCGTCGGACACATTTACTACTGAATGCAGAGCATGATTGGTCGAAAGATGTTGGAATTTCAACTCAAAAGGCTTGGTGTTTTTGGCGCTGAAGAAACTATAAGCTCTCATCCAAATTTCGATGAATGCTACAAAATATGTCAGTATTTTGTTATCTTAGGGGATCCGCTTGTGCAATACCGAGTAGATGCTTCTCATGTGCAATTCTGGACTGACCTTTGTTGCTTTTGTGACTTCAGTATGGGCGAATCATGGTGATGACATTAGCATTCAGTATTCTGGCACTCCTGCATTGAAAGGAGATTTCGTTAGGTATCCCATATGTATAATATCAAATTTGAATGGATCTTAGCATTCGCTACTCATCTTAAATCAGAGACACAGTAAAGTTCCATTTTGCCATCTATTTTTTTTTGTCTAAATGTGCTCTAACTGGTTGGAATCTAGGTATGGGCAGCGAACTGTACAAGGGATCCTTAATGATGGTTGGAACGCCTTAATGCGGTATTACCTGAACAACTTTGCTGATGGAACTAAGCAGGTTCGTGACTTAGTTGGTCGTTCTCCGTATCCATTGTATCATTTGCTCAATTCTGCACTTAGAACTGATGAAGAATCCAAGTCCTTGCACCTACTGTGCGGTATTTGTTTAATCGTGAACCTGAAACCTGTACTGGTTGTGTTTAAACTTTTGGTTGTGTGCAAAGGATGCGATTGATCTTCTGCAAGGACACTACATAGTAGCCGTCAGTCGAGACATGGCTCCAGTGCCTCAGAAGGGAGGTGTTGAGGCCATAGCTGTAAGCATTCATCAGACAATAACTACCTCACAGCGTATCGATATTGTAGATTCTAGTCTAATGCCACAAAATTTTCTCATTTCTCAGAACTTCCCAGTGGCACTATCAGTGGTCCTGATCAGTTTATTTTTCGCGACAATGTCTCTGAAACAAGGTAAAAGGCAGACTCTGGCTTGACATCGGGTTTTTGTCGGGTGGAGCCATAGTTTGAGTACATGTGTTGATAGAAACATGAACCTGATTCGTGTGTGCAGCTGGGCGTGATTACAGGCACTTGTTCTTCTCGGTCATGTGGACGGGCATCGGAATGGCCATAGTGGTGTTCATGAGGGCCAATGGCCGGATCTTCTGCAACAGGCCTCGCCTGCACAAGCCCAGATGTTGAATCATCTGATGACAGGTTTTGCAAGTCAAATCTTTGGGGGGGTTTTTTAAATTTATTCACACTCTTTAATTCTTTTTATTTAATTAGAGGCCCGTAAGATTAAGAACCGAACACGAACAAGAAGCGCTGCTTGCGCATGTTTCGTCTCTGTTTTCTTGCTACTGCTGCTCTGTGGCTTTATCATAGTACCATGGAAGCACAAAGCGGTTGGTGGATCCTCTTTCTTTCATCAATATGATTTGGTTTACGCCGCCACGGGATCCAAATGGATGAGATCGTGTCTGTGCGATCGGTAATGATTTGAAGTGTTTACAGAGATTTAATCCAAAACCATAATGAATGTATTATGGCATTTGCCCTTGTCCTTTCATCCCTTTGGCCTTTACTTTTTGTTAATAATGTTAATCCAACTGGTGATGTGTATTTGTTTCTCGTCTTCTGCTCCATAGGATCATGTTTTACACCGTTGCGGCGTTAGATTATGGGGTGACTAATTAAACATGACATTTGTTCCCCACTCTTGGCAAATCACATATTATAAAAAAAAACATGGCATTTGTTATTTTTAGTGGACGATTAAAAAAATTGGTATAATAGTACTAGTCTACCGAAATCGAATCGCAGTTTTTTAATTGATAGCGTTTGAATAAAATGTCATTTTTAAAACCTTAAAATGCGTATTATATGTAATATACACATACATAATATGTATATATATACACACGTGCATACAAGCTTACATGCATACATATTCTTCAAAAGCATATTGGATTTGGTATAAAAGAATGGTTGGTCCAAAGGCCTCAAATTTGTTCAGTTTATCGTTCCATACGGCATGAAAAGCTGCGACAGAATGCGGAGAGAGAATCAAGAATGGAATAATTAGTAAGGCCTCCCTTAGGGCCCATTAAGGTAAAGAGGGGCCCATTTATTTTGGGCTTACCGGAGACCCATCAGAGGCAGTTCTTTTGGGGTTATATTTAGGGCACTCCCATTCTCCAACCACAATCGGAGAATTGATTTTCTGGAAATCAGCGAGGAATCGACCCCGACAAGCCATGTACGGATCCAGAGGGTAAGTTGTGATTTTCCGAAGATTCCCATCCGCATCTAGTTTCTCTCTTTCTTCTTCTTCTTCTTCTTCTACGGTGTTTTCCTGTTTTTTGCCGTCATGGATTTAGGTATTTGTTTGCCCTCGGTCTGACGAATCGCATTAGGACCGTCCAACTAATTTAAGGCCTTTAAGAATTTCGTCTGATGCATATATGCCTCTAATCGGTGCCCTATTGCGACCTTGTTGGTTGATTTGTGTATAACAGAAGGGTATGATCTGCTTCTTGGAAACATTTGTGAAATCCGCGTGCAACTTATTCAGAAATTGACCTCATATCTGCATTAGGGGTCAACTTGCTTCTATTCGTTTCTGTTCGCATCTTGTTTTTCCCCTTGGTGATGTTTTCGTTTGCATCGTCCAGTTTCTATGAATCATTGCCCTTTTAGTTTAAGTCCATATTTTGAATTGGGAGAGGCGGATGTCTGGCAATTGCACGCCTTAGATGTACTTTCCAGACGTTTTATTGGGGTAGGGGTCATGTGATGGCTGCTTAGAGAAGATATGAAACTTAGAGGTGTAGAGATCGTTACAGACTGCCAGGGAAGACTGGGTTGGGTATTATATTAACTGGTTGAGTGGGGGATCTTTTCGGGTTTCTTTTGTTTTCGTAATTGAAGGGCAATGTTGGGGAGCGGGGGGGGTTCAGACGGGTACGAGGTTGGCTCAAAGAGACAAAGAATGACGCAATCGAATCCATACTTCGCAGTTGGCATGGGAGCCAGCAGCTTTCCTCCTTACGGATATGGTGCCGGGTTTCAGCCGCCGACATTCCCGGTGGTTCGCTTGAGGGGTCTTCCTTTCAATTGCAGTGACATGGATATCTTTAAGTTCTTTGCTGGGCTGGACATCGTGGATGTCCTCCTAGTCAACAAAAATGGAAGATTCTCGGGAGAGGCATTTGTTGTATTTTCCGGGCCAATGCAGGTGCAGATTGCGCTGCAGAGAGACAGGCAAAACATGGGGCGGAGATATGTGGAAGTGTTCCGGTGTTACAAGCAGGATTACTACAATGCGGTAGCTGCAGAGGTGAACTACGAAGGAGTCTACGACAATGAGGGTGGTAGCGGGAGCCCTCCAGTCTCTGGCCCCTCCAGAGCAAAGAGGTTCTGTGAGAAAGACAAGCTGGAATACACAGAGGTTCTGAAGATGCGAGGCCTCCCTTACTCGGTGAAGAAATCTCAGATCGTAGAGTTCTTTAGTGGGTACAAGGTGATCGAAGAGAGGGTACACATAGTGTGTCGGCCAGACGGGAAGGCCACTGGAGAGGCATATGTGGAGTTTGAGACGGCAGAGGAGGCCAAGAAGGCGATGGCTAAGGACAAGATGTCGATCGGGACAAGGTACGTGGAACTGTTCCCATCAACGCTGGACGAGGCTCAAAGATCTGAGTCAAGGTCTAGGCATTGAGAGCATTTTCTTTTTTGTGTTTTCCATGTCTGTTGCTCGGCTGTGTATCATTTTAGGATTTTGTCAGATATGAATTTGACGATAGTTTCGTTAAAAACGCACAAGCTTTCCAGATTTATATTAGATTTCAGATTACGTGGGGGAACATGTTGATCAAATTGGGTCGCGGTTCCTTTTTTTTTCTTCCTTTTTGGATGGAAATCTAGAGGCTAAACGTGCATGGGATGTTGATACGCAGAATTTAATGCATTATCACGTATCAGTTTAGATCTGTAAGGCCCATTATGCTTAATGGGCCACCAGGTTTCGGGCCTGGGCTTAAAGCAAGCGGATCACAGGCTTGGCGCTTTTGTTTTGGAATCCCGCCGAAACGCCTTTCCTCGTTTCAAATCTGAATCTCTCTCGAGTTGAGATTGCTACCGATCGTTTGATTCTTCTTCTCAAACCCTTCTCTTTGGGGTAATTCGTATTCCCTGCCCGGCGTTGGAATATTCGTTTACAGGATCCGTCATGACGCGTGGTAGACCAAAGGCCGATTCCAAGAGCACCGATGCTAGGTCGGCTTCCCTCCCTCTGCAATTCGTATTGTTCATATTGCTGTTTAGATCCGTATTTTTCTACATATGAGCCTGCTTTTTTTTCCTGGTTAGCTATTTCGCTTGCGCTTGATTCTGAGTTTTCGTCATTATGGGATGTTTGACGATGGTATTGGATATTTTTCTCTCAGGCTGAGTATCAGAGGAAGGAAAGCTGGGAAGAAAGAGAAGGATCCAAACAAGCCCAAGAGGCCTCCTAGTGCTTTTTTCGTTTTCCTGTAAGTAATCCTTTGCAATCTCCTGTTTCACTGTCTGCTTCTACCTTCTGACGTTTTCTTGCAATCTTTGCTTCTGATTGTGATTCTCAAAGAGACGAATTCAGGAAGCAGTTCAATGAAGAAAATCCTGGCAATAAGTCCGTGGCTGCTGTGGGTAGCATTGTGGTTTGGAATCGCTATGCAGAGCAAGTCCAGCTTCCTTGTTCTCGCTGAATCTGATAAGCACTGTATTTTCTCTTGGCTTTTGAATCAGGTGGGGAAAGCTGCTGGAAATAAGTGGAAGTCTATGTCTGATGCTGTGAGTTTCATCTCTTCTTTCTGCTTCGTTACAAATTGGATACTCCATTGTGATTTGTGCTCTCTGTTTTCTTCTTAAACCAGGAAAAGACACCTTATGTGGCCAAGGCAGAGAACAAAAAGAATGAATACACCAAAAACATGCGAACTTACAATATGAAGCTGGTAACCCTCTGTCATGATACTGAGTAATATACTGTTATGTGGGAAGGGTCCTCTTATCAAGCATCGGTTGAATGGCGTAATAGGCCGGAGGAGCTAATCCATCAGAACGTCATGATTCTGTCAAGTCCAAGTCTGAAGTCAATGATGAAGAGGAGGAAGAGGCAAGTGGGGAGGTGGGTCTTCTTGTAAAATGTTGTTCTTATTCTTGTTACAATCGATTGTCTGATGGAGTTTTCGTTTGACAAATGTGGCTCTTGCACAGGGAGAAGAGGACGAAGAATAGGAAACAGGTGGGAGACAAGAAGGGAGGCGGGCGTGGCTTCATAGCAGTAGCTAGTTTCCTTATCTTTCTGTTTGCATCAAACTTGTCGGTTAACTAGATTCGATAACTTTCTCTGGCTGACATTGGTGGTTGACTGTCTGAGAATGTTACATTCTTGTAGAAGATCTGATCTATTTGGAATTGTATTTTGTTTTATCGGTTCTCTTTCGTCAATGCTCCTGCTTAGGACGAAGAATAGGAAACAGGTGGGAGACAAGAAGGGAGGCGGGCGTGGCTTCATAGCAGTAGCTAGTTTCCTTATCTTTCTGTTTGCATCAAACTTGTCGGTTAACTAGATTCGATAACTTTCTCTGGCTGACATTGGTGGTTGACTGTCTGAGAATGTTACATTCTTGTAGAAGATCTGATCTATTTGGAATTGTATTTTGTTTTATCGGTTCTCTTTCGTCAATGCTCCTGCTTTATAACTTTCCAGATCCCATCTTTAAAAAAAAAAAAAAAAAAAAAAAACTTTCAAGATCCCATGGATTCACACACGTAAGCTCTTCTCTCCTTTTAGTGACCTCTTCTTCTGAACCCCAATCTTTTTCCAGTTTCTCAGGAGAGGTGAGTGAAAGATGCCAAAGGGATGGCTTTGAAGTGGTGACGTGGGATGGCTGCAGAGGTTTGATCGCTTCCTCTACCATTTCCAGGTTCGATACTCTTTCTGTCGTCCTTTATTTCTCGTGCTTCCTCTGGTTTGCCTTAAAGTGTAAATATTACTAGAAACACAGAGCCCATTGATAAATCAAATTGGATTGGATTTTTAGGGCTTATTTTATTAAATGGGTTGAAACCCATATATATAAAGAAAAAATTCCAACAGCGACATATCCACAATCTCATTTTTAACACACGTGTTTAAACCCAAATAACATAATAATTACAAAAAAAAATGGGTTGGAGTTCGACCTAACCCACCCATTGATCATATGGATAGCCTGGGTTTCTGTCTCTGTCACATATCAACAAGCAACCAGTTGTGCGCGTGTGGGAGAAAGAAGAATGCCGGAGACAAGCCACCAAAAAAAAAAAAAAAAAAAAAAAGGAATTGTCAACGTCGATGAAAATTGCGATTTCCACTCGGACAGTATTCGTGTGATATTTCGAGGGGTCGAGAGAATCTTGAAAAAAGCCCTAAAAAAGATTTTGGCTTTTTTTATTTTCTCCACTGCCAAAGTCCCAACAACCCAGCACTCTTATGTTAAAGCGACATCTCAGACCGCCACCACCACAAAAGGAAAAAGAAGGAGAACATCAAAATTTGCTTGCTCTGCTGCTCTGTTTGCTCAACATGCCTTGCCTTGTTTCTTGTCGAAATTTCTCATATTCATATATGTATATATATTTTTCCTTGTAGTGGTATCTGTCCAAAAAGAACGAGCAACTGCTGGGACAAAGATGGTTTGGCTTCTGGTGGTGATGGTCCTCTGCGACGCAGTTGCTGTACAAGGAGCCAGCACGAGACCGGACGTAGTGAACGTCGGTGCTGTTTTTACGTTCGGATCTGTGATCGGAAG